AATGTTCATCGTTTATAATTCGTTCACTCATATCTTCACAAAATTGTAGTCGCCGATCAAAATGGTCTTCATTAAGTTCTTGTACCAGGTGAATTTTATACGGATGAAAATTATGGCCCTTTAGAATTCGTTGGACAGTACGTCGACTAACACCACACCCGGTCTCCAGTTTGCGGGTACTTAACGTAGGATCTACATAAACTTTCCCTAAAACTCCCACTTCTAGTGCTTTGTTCCTTATGGGATTTTCAATGTTGCGTTTTTTATTGGCGACTGACCCCTATCTATGTACTAAATTTCCTTATCTTTCTTCAAAAAAATGTTAAAAAAACTATGGGCGTAGTGAAGAAAAGCATTTACTTACTAAGTAAATTCTTTCAGTCAAATTTCTTCTGAAAGTAGTACAAACTAATCTGATTTACCTATTAAAGTCTACTTTAAGCTTTAAATCAATAAATCTTCAAACCTACTAAACTGAAGCTCATGTATTTTACATCATTATAAAGGGAATTGAAATACCTTTAAAATAAGGTATCACTCGACCCGCCCAGGGGGCTGCACGTGCTAACGTGATTTTTTGCCAAACTTGTGTGCCCCTCGAAAATAAAATCGACGGTGTCAGCGTTTTTCAAAAAAAAAAGAAGTTGCCAGTAAATGCGTCAGTTTTGTTTTCGATGCGCCACCCTGTATAGAACAGAGCACTATCCCAATTTAGAATACCGGAACTATAATTAATGACTAATCTAAAATTTAACGTCTTCGAGAAGGGGAGGTCAGGAAGTACGCAATTCACCGAAAAAGAAACTTCATTACACTAGTCTACGAAATGACATTTCGTCTGTTTTTTTTTGTTTGCCTTTTTTAGGTATCTTACATAATACCTCTGCCGTTTGTAATTTGAATTTTGAATACATCCCGGCACTGCTGAAAGACACACGTTTTTTAGATTTAAATGCATAACGTCCTCTTTTATCTGTGGTCGTGTACAGACCAAGCGTCGGGCTGCGTCTCGACCCCCGCTCCGATCAGAGTCCCCAGTCTCCAGCCGCCTCGCCGCGGGCTCCGGCTGGACTTTTCCGGTAACCCAATTTCCGGTGTCTCCTGTGCTCCGGGGAGAACGCGTGCATGCACCTTGCTGCACGTGCCGCGTAGCGGATTTCATCAAAGGCGACGATGTCGCGCGATGGTAACGTGCTCTTGCGATTTGCCTTGTTTTTCAGTCAGCAAAAGCAAGAGAAATGTGGACCAGAAACACGCGCACTAACAAAACGGCAGATTCTTCCTGTCCCTTTATTGTAACTTGACTGTCAGTGGTCAAATACATTTCCTGATATTCGGAAACTTTCTAGAGCGACACCTATTTTCAAATTATTCGATAATACTGATATTAAAAGCTATGGAGCGGTGGCAATATCGTCAAATCTCTCCAAATTGCTGGAGATAATATTGCATAATAGAATTTACTCCGCAGATGATAGATCTCTGTCCCGTTTTGCGCATGGTTTTCTTACTAAGAAATCCACAGTAACTGATTTAACAATCTTTACTCAGTTCGCTGTTGAATGTGTCGACAGGCAAAGACAACTAGATGTAGTATATACTTATTTTGCTAAAGCGTTCGATAGGGTGGACCACGGCATACTTTTAAATAAACTTTCTTATTATGGATTTCATTCATCAGCTTTAGCACCCATTCACAGTTATTTTTATGGAAGGAATCAATATGTTATTTTCAATGGCTTTAAGTCATACCGGTATGTATGTTAACTAAATCTGGAGTGCCCCAGGGTTCAAATCTTGGTCCCTTATCCTTTACCTTATTTATTGATGATATTAAAATTGTAATAAACTCCTCGCTGAGAATAATTTAAAACTATTTACAATTATCGAGTGTATATGTATACTAAGTGACATATAAATCCGAACACCCAGTTTAAATGGTTTTATTTTAATAAAATTTTGTAAAAGTACTTAATGAAGCATAATAAGTAAATGATAAAAATTTCAAAATGATTGCACTGCTTTAAAGCCCTTTGACCTTTAATAATGTGTGGATGCAGCCTGATGTGCTACGCATTCTCCAACGCGCCTAGGCATGCTTCTGATCAGGTGGTCAATGTCCTCCTGTGGTATCTCATTCCAGGCAACCACCAACTCCTCTCGAAGTGCTTCTAGAGTCTGAGGAGGACGTTGCAAATTGAGCAATCTCCTACCCATCATATCCCACACGCGCTCAATTGGGGATAAGTCGGGAGATCTTGGTGGCCATGGTAACAATGTGACATCATTATGTTGAAAGAAGCCTATTGTGACTCTTGCAACATGTGGTCGGGCATTATCTTGTTGGAAAGTTGGATCTGCCAGGGTGTCAAGATAGGGTAAAAGATGGGTTTCTAGAACTTCGTGGATATAACGCTGCGCGTTCATGTTACCTCTAATGAAGGTTAAAGGTGACCTGGAACCATAAGCTATAGCACCCCAAACCATAACTCCAACAGTGCGATGAACATGTCTTTCAACAAAAAACTGTGGATTCCTCCTTTCACCACATCGCCTTCTAACTCTGGCACGACCATCGTGCATGTCTAAACAAAATCTAGACTCGTCACTAAAGACAATACTGTTCCATTCCTGATCCCAGAGTGACCGTTGTCTGCACCACTCTAGGCGATTACGTCGGTGTTCTCGAGTTAAAGGGAGGACCCAGTGTGGCCGGTATGAAAACAAGCCAAAACTTCTCATTCGTCGGTAAACACTTCGCATGCCAATAGGTCTTCCGTGTTCTGCAAACCATTCATTTTCAATGGACCTGGTAGTAGAGAAACGTTCCCTTAAGTCCAATAATCTTAGGCGGCGATCTTCACGGTCTGTTGTTCTACGGCGGCATCCAGTGCCCCTTGCTCTTTGCGTACGGCCTTCTCGAAGCCATGCCGGACAACACCTAACCACAGTGTCTACACTTCTTTGCACTCTAACTGCAATTGCCCGAAAAGAAAGTCCAGCTTCCCGAAGTCCCACTATACGGCCCCTATCAAACTCACTAAGTTGACGAAATCGTACACGTCTCCGTACTCTAGGCATCGTAACCGATCGTAAAGGATGTCAAGAACCAAAATCCGCCAACGTTGATTCTTTACTGCGGCTGAAATATTCATTTTTAGAGCGTTAGTGAATTAAAAAAAAGCAGTATAAAAACCGGAATGTCCAACTGATAAGGCTGAAAATTTTTTCACTTGTTATTTACAGTAAGATAAATACATTCACCAACTTTTATTAAAATAAAACCATTTAAACTGGGTGTTCGGATTTATATGTCACTTAGTATATAATGCTTTAGCAGCTTGGTGTGACGAGATTAATTTATTTCTTAATACTTCTAAGTGTAGTGTAGTCAGCTTTTCCAGGAAAACTTCTGTTTGTAAATTTAATTGTACGATTGGGGACGTTTACATAAATCGTTAAAACTCAATTAAGGATTTGGGTGTAGTATTTGACCATAAACTTAATTTTTGATTCCACACAGCTCAAAAGGTGAGTGAAACTTCGCGAGCGTACGGTTTTATTGTGAGAAACCGTAGAAGCTTCAGCCGCGCGGAGCGACTGTTGCTTTTTGTATTCTGCATACATCAGATCGAAATTGGAATATGCATTGTTAATTTGAAACTCAATTAACAACTTCAAAGTTGACGGTGCATATCCTGAGCGGGGTATATCTGGAAGCTTATTATTGTCTAGGTTTCAAATGCAGTTAGATAGCTGTTAATAATAAATTAAAAATTCCGATTGGAAATATTTAAGCGATGCGGAAGCTCTGTGATCTCCCGTTTTCAAATGAAAGTGTGTTACATTCTGACAGCAAGATGGGATCAACAACAGAAACTAAGACGTACACTCTTATAACAATAATAATTATTATTTGCCTTCAAAATATACACACACTATACACACTGAAGAAATCTCAAATCGGTAATAAATAAATGAAGTATCAGAAGAAGGGATATCCTTGTGCGAGGGTGAAAAAAGAAATATCAAAATACCCTTAAACTAGCGACAACACTATATGATAAGTTCCTCTCTACTCTTATGTGATATATGATATGTCTTAATTCGGGTAAAAATGGGATATAATGGGAATATTATTCTCTAGAATCTCTAGAGTAGGTACTAGCTTTTCTAAAATGTACGGTGGCTTTTTTGTGCGAACTACTTTATGGACAAACACCTTCATAGCATGAACAAACTGTGATTCCATCTTTAACCAATTAAAATATTTAATCTTCGAAGTCCAAACACAAACCTGCAGCAGCTGTTTTGAATTTTTTGTAACCTATACCGATCCGACTGATCCGAATAAGAATAGAATAAAATCAGATAATGTTGCAAAGATGACAGGACCAAGCTTTCAACTAATTTTTTCCTGGTCTTAAAGTTTGAAATGAACCGGTTGGAGTATAAAAGTTTTAAATTGGCATCAGTTTTTTGAGACAGGAAATCGATGTGTCTATCAAACTTCAAATTGTAGTCCAAGATAACACCCAGGTTTTTAGAATGTTCTACCATGGGGATGCGCTCTTTATTTATAATGAGTACAGTTGCGTCCTTTATGTTATTATACATGTGTTTCGGAGAAAAAAGCATATTTGAACTCTTTTCAGGATTGACCCTGAGACAGTGCTTTTTACAAAAATCCGTAATATTGATTAGGTCAGTATTAGGAGAGATGTCTTTGCTTATGGAAATGAAACATCACGGTAGGTGGTTTTAAATGACTTTATTGTTTTTCGAAGTATTCTTCACGAAGATTAATACACATCTGCATGCGCTCGAATTTTCGAAGCACTTATTCCACTCGTTTGACCACGCAGTCTGTTTTCAATTTTCGGGAAAGTAAAGAAATCGTTAGGACTTAGATCAGGACTATATGGAGGATGGTCCAATAATTCTACGTTTTCTTCCATTAAATACTGCCTTGTTTTTTGGGCTGTGTACGAGCTTGCAAGGTCTTGGTGGAGGATGATTCTTCTTTCGGGGTTGATTTTTCGAAGCTCGGTGATGGCTTTTGGCAAACAAATGGTGGTATACCAATCCGCAGTAACAGTTGTTTGCTCATTAAGAGGAATTGTTGCAATATAAACCGCTTTTGACACAAATGTCGCGACCATCTTTTTCGAAACACTTCGAGAACGGATGACTTTTGTTGGCTTTCTTCACCTTGGAACACCCAAACAGCCGACTGTCGGTTTTTTTTTGGTTCATAACAATAAATCCACGATGCATCACCACTAGCAATGCTGTACACATTTTTTGAGTTTCCGGAATTGAAACGGTCAAGCGTTTTTTGACACCAATTAACCCTGGCTGCTTTCTGCTCTTCAGTCAACAGGTGGGGTATCCAACGAGAAACTAATTTTCTTACTCCTAATTCTTCATGTGAAATTTTTTGAATTGAGGTTTTTGAGATCTTCAAGGACGACTCAATCTCGCGATATGTCACATGTCTATCTTCAATGATGAGTTTGCGCACAGCATCGACGTTTTCCTGGGTGACTGCCGTTTTTGGTGCACCCTCCCTGGGATCGTCGCTAAGACTTGTAACGGTTTCACCGTCCGATCGTATTTATTAAATCACTTCTCGATTATCATTTCATTAATCCCATCTCTAGCTTTTTTGCTTGGAAAATTTTCCGCTTGGAGCGCTTGATGCGGAGTTCCTGATCTGCGATCTTCCTCGCGCTTCTTTTTCACTTGAGCCGCCGATCGAACAACGGCCAGAAATTTCTTCTCAGTAGCACAAGGTTATATAGCACCATGTGCTAGAATTTTCCAGAATGTGTGTCCGTATAGGGCAAAAATGATTGGGGCCACCCCCTTTCTCTTTCCCTTTCACTTTGCCTAGCCTTGGCCAATATTTTCACCCATGCATGTACCTTGGCAGCGCCATCGCCTTTAACTTCGCCTTCAACTGGTTGTGAAGCCACTATATGGAGGTCACCCCTCATAACTGGGACCTCCCCTTCAAGCCCCTGGCCATCCTGGCTTCAGTCGAGTAAAAATGGACCAGCGAAAGATAAGTCGATAGCGTTATAGCAGCGCCAAAGATGTAAAACTTATTTTGTTATTTTTTGTAAAATTGTAATGTAATGAAAATGCCTTTTTTTTTTGTTAAATAAAATCTGTTAAATTTTTGTGTTCTGTTTGTTATTCTATCCTCTAGCCATGCCATGGTCGACACACAGCTACACGCCTGTAGATGTCTTCATGCCACCGACTGAGCTACCGGAAGCTAATGGTAACCCCCTTTCTGTGATTGTGCAGAAAAGTTGGAATCTTCATTGCATTCCATCTTTTCTGGACTTTTTGCGGAAAGGAAGCGTTACATAAATTGGCACCCGCAACGTGAGGCTTCGATAGGTGTTTGGCTTTGTCGACAAGTGGTTTGCTAGTGGAAGATTGGCAGACAGAACATAGTTTTCAAAATTCTTTACAATCTTTGGCAGCATTTCTATTTTTAATTGCTTTTGGTACTCAAATTTCTAATTCCTTAATCATCCTTACTTTTTGCTTAATATTTAAAATTTTTATCAAAAGATTAAAATTTTTCCACCTGTTTATTTCATAGGCATACTATTAACTTTTAAATTGTCTTGTTTAGTAGTCAGCGAGATCATTGCCAGAATTTTTTTGTCTCACATACTACTATAGTTTTTATTTACTGCTGGGGACAGTTATAACTTTTTTTCTCATTGTAGTTTTGAGATTGATGATACTTTGATAATTTTTTGTTGAATATTGATAGTCTGGGGACTTTAGGCTTCCCAGCATTTTGTCGAATATCATCAAACTTTTGATTGAGGTTGTGACTATTGTTGTTGATAGTTGATATATTCTTATATGCTTTTCATTTTTGATCACTAACCTCTTAATTTTTGAAAGTATTTCTTCATGTGCAGTTTTTTAATTTCTTGAGACTTTTCATGTATGCATATATAGCCTAATTGTTGGATCTCTGGTGTACTGATATAGCTCTCATGATGTTTGGTACGTAGGAAATTTACTTTCAAAATTATTTTTGCCTTCCCCAAATGTATTTACTTTTTGAATTTTTGACTGTACTTTTGATCATTTGTTTTCATTCTGATGGAATTAATCTACTGACTAGAGTTATCTGGAGTAAATCATTTTGCGATTTATCCATTTTTCTGAATTATATGAAATTGATATTCATAATTGTTCGTATATTTTGGCGGTTTACTTTTTTTCAAGTATTGACACTTGGACATAGTACTTTGATACTTACCTTTTTTTTTTCAAGAAACAAATGATGTTTTTCTTGACTATATTTTTGCTACTTTTCAATGAGGGGGTGACTCCTAAATCATTTTTACCTATACAAAGACACACATACTCATTTATGGTAATTAAATGTCAACTTGTTGTTTAAATATATAGTATACGTTCCTCAGTAACTAATGTAGTAATGTTGTCTCTTGTTTGGAGCATAAGTTTTCATAATTTTAATGTTTTATAGTTTTATCTGGCATATCCTTTGGGGGAAATTAGAACATTACTGTCTGATTTTCCACTGGATTAACAGGACTTGAACGTCTCTGTACTTTTTTAATGTATGACAGATATAAAATAATTTTTTTTAAGATTCGGCTGCTCCTGTTTTTGTATTGAAACTGTTTGTTTGTATTGTTAGTTTTTTATAGTGTTTTGGATCCTTTTATATTACCGCTCAATCGAAGGGGGCGAGTTTTTCGATCTGTACATTGGAGCGAGTAGGTTTTCCTATGTTTATTTCCAAGTACAGATGCGAACGGAGAAGAATTTCCTTTGATAATGATTAAACTTATTTGCTGTAAGAGGCAGCTGAATGTTTACTTTGGACATTTAACATCGTTGATCCTTCAACCTTTTGAAATATTACAACCAGTCCAATATATACTTCCGCTCAATCGAAGGGGGCGAGTTTTTCGGTCTGTACATTGGAGCGAGTAGGTTTTCCTATATTTATTTCCTAGTACAGATGCGAACGGATAAGAATTTCCTTTGATAATTGCTAAGCTAATTTACTGTAAAAGGCAGTTGAATGTTTACTTTGGACATTTGTCATCGTTGATCCTTCAACCTTTTGAAATATTACAATAAGTCCAATACTCATATTTCCGCTCAATCGAAGGGGGCGAGTTTTTCGATCTGTACATTGGAGCGAGTAGGTTTTCCTATATTCATTTCCTAGTACAGATGCGAACGGATAAGAATTTCCTTTGATAATTGCTAAGCTAATTTACTGTAAAAGGCAGTTGAATGTTTACTTTGGACATTTGTCATCGTTGATCCTTCAACCTTTTGAAATATTACAATTTGTCCAATACTCATATTTCCGCTCAATCGAAGGGGGCGAGTTTTTCCATCTGTACATTGGAGCGAGTAGGTTTTCCTATATTTATTTCCAAGTACAGATGCGAACGGACAAGAATTTCCTTTGATAATTGTTAAGCTAATTTCCTGTAAAAGGCAGGTGAATGTTTACTTTGGACATTAATCATCGTTGTTCTTTCAACCTTTTGAACCATTACGTCAGTCCACCATGTACAAAATTTACAAGTAATCATTATTTTTCTGATTCCAATTTAATGTGTATACTTCATCTTTTGAATATTTCATTTTTCTGAGTGTACTCAAAATTTAAATTGCATTCCCGATCTAAATCATGTGACAAATACTGTGTATAATATTTTATAATGTTTTTATGCGTATATTTTCTGAATTTCCTTTACATACTTACGTACTTCTATTTTTGAAGACTATTACTTTTGAAGTTTTTGATAGTATCCTCTTTTTGAATTCATTATAACTTTCTTCGAGAGCACAGACTTACATTGGTTTTTGGTTCAAACTTTTGATGTTTGTTTACATATTTTTGAGTGGTTTTGAACTTTGACAGTATTTTGTAATCTGGATAGTAACATAGATTCGTTGCGATGTATGCCTTTGAGGGTCTTGTACTATCCACAGTTTCTTTAATTGAAAGTGTTTTCTTCATATGCATTTTATTTTCTTCTTGAGACTTGTCATATATGCTTTCCGCCTAGTTGCAAATCTGTGCGTATTGATAAACTCTTAAAACCTCTGGCGTATAAGTAAAAATCACTTTTGATATAGTTATTTATGTCTCAGTTCAATTCAATCAGTTCAATTTGATTTGAAGTAATTGTCAATTCCTTCTTGAGATTTTTCATATATGCTTTCAGCCTTTGTGCACATTTGTGCGTATTGCTAAGTCTTGAGCTTGTTTGCGACATTACTTTCATGTTTCGCTATAGATTTTGAAATATCTGGTGATTTTGCTTTTGCATTATTCCATTTGTTTTGATAGTGTGCTCTCATTTTTTTTTTCCGACTTCTTATTTCTTTCAATTTTTGTCTTGACTTGAAGTAATCGCCAATTCTTATAGATTCAGTATAGTAATTCTTTTTTTCATACTTTACACTGGTAAATTATTATAGTTTTTCTAATCTTGTAATATTTCATATTTGAACTTAACTTTCATTTTACAATGTTATGGTTATTCTCAGTGTAGACTTTGAAGTGCGCTGATGATATCAGTGATCTACATGAGAATATTCCATAGACTATAGACATTCTTGTCTAGGGCTTTGGAATGAACCTATGGTGACCCTAGAAAGTTGTCTTTCTCTAATATTTTTGCTTTAAATCAAAATTCGAATTCTTACCTATCATATTTATTTCTATTTCTTGTTCACTAGATTTTTTTTATAACTCCAATTTTGCACCTACATATATCGTAGATTTTTGCATACAATTTTTGCTTGCGGCATTACTCTCATGTGTCATGATTTATTAAAATATCTTGTGATTTTCGTTTCGCTATTTTGCATTTTACATATGCTCACTTCGTTTCTCATTTATTACTCATGAAACTTTTAATATTTTGCTTACTTTTGTATTTTTTTTTTTGAGAATTCTTCATAAAATCATGCTCATATAGCTTTGATATTTCCTTTCACTTTATGATTTTAATACTATTAGATTTACAGTTGCACTTGTGTTGCACTTAGTTTTTCTTGGAAATTTATTTTGCTCTTTTCTATATTGAACTTAGAATTTTTTTTTTGGTCTGGTTCTTATGTTGTCACATGACCCGAAAATTTTGATTGAACTTACTCTTGAATTTTAGTTCATTGATTGAACTTAAGCTATATTTTGACTTTGAAAATCTTACTTCAATATTTCATGAATGTCCCTTATATACTTTAATTCTCTGAAAATATTTTGAATTATTTTGTAGTCTTACAGACTGCTGGCGCCCGACAATTTTTTTGTGGAATCAGAACTGCACTTAGTTAACATC